CACACACACACACACACACACACACACACACACACACACACACACACACACACAAATTCACCTCTACACACACAAGTTCACTTCTGTACACACATATAAATACATACGTACATACATACACACATATATCTATAAACACACACATATACAGTCATAAATATGTACACACACGGACAACCTCTCGGCAATACGCCTTTTTTTGCGTTTGCATAAAACGCAAAAACGCGTAACAAATGAATGCTTGAAATCACTATATTTTTGGCAAAAGCATGAAAAACGTAAATATGTTTCAGTTTCTCGCATTTCCTCCAACCAGCAATTTCATCAAACTTTAGTTTACTATGGCGAAAAAGAGAAAAAAAAAAGGATAAAAAAAGTAGACTATCCAAAAAAATAAACGAGTACTGACCCCAGCATGCTACCAAATCGGACGAAAAGACGAAGAAGATGAATGAATCCATAATGTTCAGATGCCTTGAATTGCTGTTCTGTTCCTCCTACATCTGTAAGTCAAAATCATCAAGTTATAGAATCACTTTTCAACAGCGCCGAACAAATTGCGTATGTTAACACATAGAAGACTTCAGGCCCCCGTCCTCTTTCGATCTCCTAGTCAGTAATTCATCGTATTCATTGTTTATATCTCTAAAAATTTCTAAAACACTTAAAATCGATTAAAACGACTAAAATGCTAACAACTGCAGAAAAAATCACTCTTTTAGCTGGTAAGATATCTTTAACCCAATCTAAAACTGACGGCATTTAGAGCATAATTAATACATTCGCACATACCAAGGACATTCCAAAAAAAAAGCTACAACACCGCTAACTGCTTTTTTTGGGAAACTCGGGGAGCTTTTGGATTTCTTCAGAAAACTCACGAACGAGTAGATGGAAATCAGGCGATTCAATACAGAATAAAGCGAAATCGAAAAATTGCCAAACGCATAATTGGAGAGCTCTCCACCATATCAAAAAGTGCCAACTATCCCAGCTATACTAAGTATCCCAAAAAACTTAATCCATTTGATCGTAGTCCTTATCCCCTCTTCTCGCCTCTTTCACACTCTTTAATGTTAGAATTTTTGTTTCCCCTTGCTTTTGGTTTCCCTTTGCTTTCACTTCGTTCTTTCTTCTCTTCTTTAAGCACCGCGACCGTCATACTGACCAAGTCCAGTTGCAGTGTTGAATTAAGACGCATATGACTTAATGGACCGAAACGTCTTATCTCACTCTTATCTCCTTTTCTCCTGCACT